TTTTGAGTCTAAACATCAATTATTCGCTCTTGTTTTCTTTATTGTACCAATTTTTTTTTAGATGTCGAAATCGAGATTTTGCATCAATTATACCACATCAACCTGCAAGGTATAGAAACAGTTTTAACGAAGTATTTCTCGATTTCGAAGCTTTCCTATTAAGTTCAATGAGAGAAAGATCAACATTGTGGATACATTCGCAAATAAAAGCTTGCATGGATGCGGGTGATTGTCAACCGGTACGTTAATAAAATTATTATTTTTTTTTACAAAATTTATTAACATTCACATTAAATAAAATTTTTTATTTTTTTAAGGAATTTTGTCTCGATTTATTCGAACCTTCGGGTAATGGAAAAAGAAGAAAAAGAGAAACGGATATTTCACGATCATCTAGAAAAACAATTAATTCAACAAATTCGACAAAATTTCAAGATAATTTAGAATATACCGTACTCATGCCAGGAGGTATAAATTGAATTTTTAAAAAAAAAAAATAAATTTAAGTTTAAATTTTTTTAAAGTGGAATTAGAAAAAAAAAAAATAATAATAATAATTTTTTTTTAGATTTTTTTCAAAAGACGTACAACGGTGAAGAATCCTGCAGCACTTTATTGTACATAACATCATTTTTGGGAATTATTTTATTTATATCTGCTTTAATAATGTGTTATTTAGCAACTAGATTACATGGATTTATTAATAAACAACAGCCATCGATGATAGATCACATTTTAACAAGAACGCAAAAATATCAAAATCCAACAGAAAAATCTTGTTATACAGGAAGAGCTACAGTTCAATAATAATTTTCGATTCGAAAAAAAAAAAATGACAATTCGAGTACTTAAAACCCAACGTAAAACGACAAATTTTTATATAAATTTATTTTTTATATTAATAATGTTATTAATAACCTCCTGCGAATTATAAAAAACTGACGACTTCGAGACAAACAAAGAAACAAACAAAAATGTTTATTAAATCAAAATTGCTTTATCGAAACCACAAAAAAAAAATTATTAAATTTCGTTTTCCCACCCCCCACCTCCCCCCACTTTCCACGTTAAATATTTGACTTGAAACAAACAGCAAAAAACAATTGTTATCACATGTAAAAAAAAAAAAAATTAACAATTTTTTTGTTATTTAATTTACTTTTCGAATTTTTTAAATAATTAATAACTTACAAGAAACATTTATAATTTTTTTTTTTTTTTTAACTGATATAAATTGCAAATGGCGACATTTGGTGACGTGTTTTAATGTTTTTTACAAAAAAAAAAAAAATTTAAATGCGTGAAATACAAAGTTCGAAATGAATTTATTAATTAATTTTAAAAAAATTCTATCGTATTCATCCCCATATATAGAGTGGGGCCTTACGTCTAAAACCACGAAAGGTAGATATGACGTCATCATTAGATAATACGTCATCAACATTTTCCTCATTGAAGACTCACACACACGACAATACATATTTCTTTTGCTTTATGTTGTTTTTTAATTATTTATTTCTTTATTTACATAATATTATTAAGGACCTTAATTATTAATTATTAATTTGATATACTTTTGTAAATATAATTTATTAGTAGTAATAATAATAATAATAATAATATAATTCTGACAAAGCAAAACACCAAAAAAGTATTTTATTTTAAAACAATGTGATATATAAAACCAACAGATGATGTGAATGCCCTTTTTCAATAATAATAATAATAGTAATGCATTTTAATTGTTATCATAAAATGATGACGATATTTTTTTTTTTAAATAATAATAATAATAATAATAATTAATTGTATGCTTGACAATTTTTGATTTTGTAATAATAATTAATGTATTTATTTTATAATTTTAAATAAATTTTTTTTTTTTTTATTGATTAACGCGTGAAGTTTTTTTTATTTAATTAACAACAACAAAAAAAAAAAAAAGAAAAATAAAAAAGAAAAAGTAGGTCATTTTACTAAAAGGAAATAGAATATTTTATAAAATAAAGGCCGGAAAATAAAATCTTAAAATTATTGTTGACCTTCGTTTAATAATGTTGACCTACAACATAAAAAGTTTTTTTTTTTAAAAAACATAATTTTTATGTACATATTGTTATGATCCCATTTTTTTATATTTATATATTTTTTATTTGTATATATATAAATGTTTTAATTTATAACTTAAAATATAAAAAACGAATCGCATCATGACATATTATAGGCGTAGTCAATAGGATTATTCTGAACAACGAAAAGGCAAAAGAATTTAAAGTAATTCGTGGTGAGTTTCAACCCCTAATCAAAATATCTTTTTTTTTTTTTTTCTCACGGTTGTTCGAATGAGTTTAGGTATAAGTATTTGCCAACTGATCCTAAACGAGATCCTCTACGTACATTTTTAACTTTTAATAAACATTGTTGTGTTCCCAATCAAATCTAGCCACTTGTGAGGGCTTTAATGTTGGCATTTATTCGTTTATTTATATATGTGTAAATTGTGTAACGTTCTGATAGTACGCTCTCCCCATTAAGTTAGGGAACGAATACCCCATTCATCCCTTAATGAAAGAACAATTGTATAAGGAGTCGCTCTAGTGCAAGGGATGCATGGTCAATGCATCGATTGTATTCATCCCCATATAAATAGTGGGGCCCCAGAACCACAAAGGGAGTCTTTGAGTTTCGTCCGTGGGTCAGAGTCTACCTAGTTGGTCCATCGCAGAACGTTTGGGACAGTAAGCGCATCTACGATTGGATTCAGTAGCATCGACTTATATTTTCACTTGAATTATATATTTTTGCGTTCGTGTTAGTACGTCGTATAATAACTAGTATATTTAAAGATTATAATAAATCAGATATAAATCGTCTATTTATTATAAATCCGAACAACACGTCTAAACCACAAAAAGAAGATACTGACGTCATCATTGAGATACGTCAATATCATTTTCCTCAAAGAAGAATCACACAACAATATTTATTATATTTTCCCAGATAGTTTAAACCTATAGTATAGAAAGAAATAAACCATGACTTTGGGGGTTTATTCGGTGGCATAGATACTTTCTCAAAATTTCTGTCAGCGTCTTCGTTGAGTACCCTCGAATTTACGTAAATCTTTGCCTTAGTCTGGGGGTCTAAACTAATATCCCTACCTTTAGATGAATCAATCCTCTATGAATTCCATTGGCACAATAAATCACCTGATAAAGAGCATGAAGACCTGGATTCATCCTGACAGAATAAACTGATCGTGTAACAAATCCCATATCCGCCATGTAAGGAAAATAATCCACAGCATCTTTGTTTAATTTTATTGGCCTTTTGAAAATTCTCCAAACATCTTCTTGAACGGTTGGTTCCCAAAACCAAAGAAGCTAAATCAGGTAGTTTTAGATAACTATAAAGTTCCAATACTGTCTTAAATGCAGTACAATCTCTTTATAATAATGGCGAAGTGACAAATCGTAACTTGTCCCATTCGGATTCGGAAATTTTTCAAGAAACATGTCAAATCCTGTCACAATTTGCCGATAATTCATATCCGAGTTCCAACATTACTAAAATTTGTTGTACCGTTGCAAAACCTAATGGTGGCTTATGATTAAATAAATTTTGATGCCTTACAGTTATCTTCCTAACAATATCTGTAGTGTTTCCACTAGTAGGGAGTCTGTTCAGCCTGTTGAAAATAATGCTCCCACAAAAGGATCAACATTGACTATATCTTGAGAATGAAAGCCATCAAACGGAACACTTCCTGTCTGAACAACAAATAATGAAAAGGGATTTACTCCCACCCCATTAACCCTTATTGTGATACCCATGGAAACCCATTGTCCATCTAGAATTTCTTTCACACTCAATATTTGTACAAGATTACTTTGGCCAGATTCAAATTGAATGATGAAAGGTCTAACCTCATCATTTGCTTCACCAACATTTCAATTGGAGTATCAGTTACAGGTACCTTAAGGGTTTATGTACCAATCATGAGGATAATCTTCTGATTTGACTATTTCAAAATCCTCATGTTTAACTGATTCTCCATTTTCAAGATTTGTCATGATCTTAAGAATCTCAATGTCTTGTTTCCTCCACTTTTTCTTTTTGCTAAAAGTGTATTCGCATAATTTAGAGTAGTAACACGAACGCGGAAAGAGGAAGATAAACGTTATAAACCGATAATCGAATCAGACAATATTATATATATTTCTTACCTTAATAATTTGTTTCGGTCGAATCGAACACGGTCGAATTTTCTAGAAAAAAGAAAAAAAAAAAAAAGAAGGTAATATTAATTATAATTTTTTTAACTGAAAAATAAGTAAGGACGCAAACGTCCTCAAACAAAATCTATTAGTAATTTTTTAACTTAAACAAATAATTATAAAATAAAAAAAGTAAATTTTAAAGAATTATTTAATGGATTTTAAAAGTAATTTTTTTTTTTCTTGTACCGGTAATTAAAATTTAAAAAAAAAAAAAAAAAATGATTCAAGACTCATAATAACTTATTATTTTTCTTTACCTTTAATTAATATTTAAAATGAAAAATATAATTTTTTGCCACATAAAACTTTTTTTTTTTTTTAACATTTAAAATGAATTTTTCACGGACGGATTATATATATATATAAATTGCAAGGTTATTATTATTATTTTTCAACTTAAAGAAAAGAAAAGTAATAAATAAAGTGATACAAAAAAAATTTTTTTTTTTTTTTCTTAGTAATCAACGCAAAAAAAAAAAAAAAAAACGTGAATAGTTTTCGTCCACCAACCGGATTACAAGAACGTCTGGTGATGGTTTAACTTTCAAATGGTTGGTCACATTCAAGTTTCAAACATGGCAGACTACGTTTCGACAAATAATGTCGAAAATAGTGTTAAAAATGGTTTTAAAGACGATAACAATATACACAATTCAAAAAAATCTGTTCGAGTGTGGTGCGATGGATGGTGAGTTAATTTTTAATCGTTAACCAAAACCTTTTTTCCCCCCTTCATTTAATTAAATTCATGCGAAATATATATAATTTTTATACCTAACCTTAATTGGATATCCTGTCTAAAGGTCGTTTAGAATTGATGATGTTTAAATACTTATCATGTAATTTCTTAAAATAATAATTGCGTTAAAATTTTATTATTATTTTTTATTTTATTTTATTTTTTATTTTTTTTGATGAATCATAATCTAATTAAATTTTTTTAAGCAATTGTAAAAAAAAATCCGAAAATAAAAAAATTCAATTTGTCATTTATACTAACTCGCTATGTAGTAGCACTATTATTAATAAATTCACTATTTCATGTTATTAAAATGTTTTTATTTATTTTGATAGTTTTATAATTATTTTATATAAATTTAAAATATAAAATTTAATTTTATTTATAATCCTGTCATTTATTTCATACTGTTTATTTTGTTATACGCAAAATTACGTTGGTTAATTTGTATAAATTTAAAAATTTTTGACAATGAAAAAATTTCGTGAAAAAAAAAAAAAAAAAGAAAGAAAAAATTAATGAATTAAAAATAATTCAAATAAATAAAATATTTTAAAATTTGAATTGTTATTTAAACCATAATTAATAATTCATTAAAAAAACATTTATTGTTATTTGAAAAATTTTTTTAATACTTAAATCAATCGAATTTTCCTTTTTTTTTTTTTATTTACATTAATATTTATTTTTAGTAATATAATATGTACTGGCTGTCATTGAAATTTTTTTAAATTTTACATAAATGTAAATAAAAATGCATGAAATCAAAAATTTTTCAACACTTTTCACATTTTTATTTATTTAAAATGTCGTACATGCATAACATTAACCATTAATTTTTTATCGATTTCCTTTTTTTTTTTTTTAAATCATTTTTAAATAAATATTTATGACCTTGTTAAAATTCATGAAAATTTTTTTTTTTTTTAGTTACAATTTATCATGAGACATGATAATTTTTTTTTTTCAGTTATGATATGGTACACTTTGGTCATGCCAATTCGTTAAGACAAGCCAAAGCTTTAGGAGATTACCTTGTTGTCGGTGTTCATAACGATGAAGAAATTATTAAACACAAAGGCCCGCCAGTTTTCACTCAGAAAGAACGTTATAAAATGGTACAAGCTATTAAATGGGTTGATGAGGTAGTTGAAGGTGCACCCTATGTTACTACTTTAGAAACATTAGATAAATATAAATGTGACTTTTGTGTTCACGGTGATGATATTACCACAACAGCCGATGGTGTCGATTCTTATCATCTCGTTAAAAAAGCTAATAGATACAAGTATGTTGATTGATTTGAGTAAGTACCAATCGTCTAAACTCACAAAATGTAATTGTGCATATATATATATGGTTTACAGAGAGGTTAAAAGAACTGCTGGCATTTCTTCCTCAGATTTAGTAGGTAGGATGTTGTTACTTACGAGGCAACATTTTTACCAAGGGTCCAAGGAGTATCAAGTAAGTTTTTTAAACTTATTTTACCTTCAAAAATTGTTTATGTTGCAAGAAATTAAAACAAGCAGGGAAGGAAACAAATTTTTTTTTCGAGATTGATTTGTTATCATTATTTTGAGTAATATTTTTGTTTATTAGAATGGGTGGGCACAAGATTTAATAAAATTAAATTCTAAATTTGTGGTTAAGGTATGCCCGGAAAATTCATTTAATCTCGGTTTGGATTCCTCTGCAAGAAGTCCATGGACGGGTTGTTCTCAATTTTTACCAACCACACAAGAAATTAATCAGTTCAGCGAAGGGAAAGAACCAAAAGTATGTATTTATTATTATTATTATTATTATTATTATTATTAATAAATAATGAAAAAACCGAAGATAATAATAATAATTATTTTTAAAATAAATTTTTTTTTTTTAGCCCGGAGATAAAGTAGTGTACGTTGCTGGAGCTTTTGATCTCTTTCACGTCGGTCATTTAGATTTTATTGAAAAAGCTCGGGGTTTAGGTGACTTTTTAATCGTCGGATTACACACGGATCCGGTTGTCAATTTATACAAAGGAAGCAACTATCCAATTATGAATTTACACGAGCGAGTATTGAGCGTATTGGCTTTCAAGGTAATATTACAACAACAACAACAACAAACAACAAACAACAACAGCCAAAAATTGATTTTTCTCTCTCTCTCTCTCTCTCTTTACAGTACGTATCGGAAGTCGTGATCGGGGCTCCCTATTCCGTTACGAGGAATTTAATGGAACATTTCAACGTCGACATTGTATGTCACGGTAATACTCAAATAATGCCAGACGTCGATGGAAGGGATCCGTATTTGGTACCTAAACAAATGGGTAAATTTGTTTTGATCGATTCCGGAAATGACATGACGACGGAAAAAATAGTTAAACGGATTATAATGAACAGGTAAAAGAAAAAAAAAAAAAAAAAAAAAAAAAAAAAGACTTTTCCACACCGAAATAAATATGTATGTCGTTTGTTATAATTACAGATTGGAGTACGAACAGAGGAACGAGAAAAAGGAAAAGAGAGAAATAAAATTATACGAAGAATATAAAAAAGCAAGGGAAGGAATGAAAGTTTCCGGTGGAAATTGATGATGATGATGATGATGATGATGATGGAACGTTTATCGCATTCATCGCATCGAATCGCATTCAATGCTAGATTTGCCAATGATGTAACAATAATTATTATCTTATTATTATTATCATTATTATTATTATTAAAGTGCTTGTCGTAAAGGAAAGAATCGAGTAGTACCCCAACGAGTAGTAACCAACTAAAAATGAAGAACGAATGAATGAATTTCGAATCGAATAATTAATTTAAAAACGTATTCACGGTAAAAAAAAAAAAAAAAAAAATTTTTTTCTTAAACTTCTTTTACGTACTGATTTTGAAAAAAAAAAATAAAAAAAAATAACCTTTCGCGCGAAGGTAAGTAAAATCATCATCATCATTATTATTATTATAGTTTTTTTTTTTTTTTTTTTTGTGTAAGTGTCACGTTGCAGTTAAATGATTCAATATGTATATAAAAATATTATTATATAAAGTCTCAAATTAAATAATAATAATAATAATAATAATAATAATAATAATTTCTTTTGTGTTTTTTAAACTGCGAATACGATGAAAATTTTTTTTTTTTTTTTTTTTTTTTTTTAAATCGCATAATCTTATGTACGTAATATTATTTATTTATTTTATTGTAAAGTAGAATTTTAAATAATAAGGCTTTTGTCGCGTAAAGAAAATTTTTTTTTTTTGAAACAATCACAATGTGAGGAGGGATGTGCGAGAGATTTTTTGCGTTCTTGCTTTATGTCGCGTAATAATAATAATGATAATGGCATGCGGAAATCGAATTCAATTTGATATCTTTCTTGTTTTTGTTTTTTTTTATTCGTTTGTTTTACCCGACAAACAAACAAACGATAGATCGATCGCGTTGAAAATTAAAAAAAAAAATTATTATTATTATTATTATTATTATTATTGTATAATGAAATTTTAACGAGCGTAGGATGATAAAGAAAATTTGTTTGTTCCTCTTTCTCGGTTCGTAGGCCGCGCGTGTTATCATTTTTTTTTTTTTGATAAGAGCGTACGCATCGTCTCTCATCACACATCATTGCAAATCGAAAAAAAAAAAAAAGAATTAATTATTATTATTATTTATTTTTTTTTGTGATTGTTTTCTCACGCGTAGTATATGTATCAATTTTTCCCTTCGATTCGTCACGCGGAAAATAATAATAATAATAATAATAAGTTATTTTCAACTATACTAATTTATCGTATATCGCCGTTAATATATATAATAAATCAAATCAAAAAATGGCTAAACGTCTAAACGTTACCCTTAATTAATAATAATAATAATCATTTGCATTTTTTTTTTTTTTTTTTTTTTTTTTTTACTGCTAATATGTACAAAATCTCAAAGTTTTGTAGTAGTAAAAAAAAAAAAAAAAAAAAAAAAAAAAATAATCCTAACAATAAAATCAATTTAAAAAAAATTTTTTTTTATTCGAGTTATATAAAATTGCCCCCCAACGCGAGGGGGGGGGAATTTAACATTATTATTATTATTGTTGTTGTTGTTGTTTGCAAGATCTAGTCTATTATTATTATTATTTTTTTTTTTTTTTTTTTTTAATTACTCGAATTTATTGATGTAGTAAAAAAAAAAAAAAAAAAAAAAAGTTAAAGAAAAGAAAAAAAAAATTTTTTTTTATCCGCGTAATTGATTTTCAATTGAACTTTTTTTATATTCATGGCTTTAAATATACATATATTTAACGTTTTTTTTTTTTTGTTTGATTTTATAGCAATGCGTGCCATTTAAATAAAAATTATTATTATTATTATTATTATTATTATTTTTCAGTCGAATTATAATAATGAATGTAATTAATTATATTTTTAATTTTAATTTGTTGTTGTAATTATTATTATTTATGAAATGCTTTGTTGTTGTTGTTGTTGTTGTTGTTGTTATTACTACTACCTATTATTATCATTATCAGCTTTTTTTTGAGGGGGAGAAAGAATGGGAAGAGTGGTGGAGAAAGAGGGGGAAGAATGGGGGGGGGAGGAATTTGTAAATATGATTTTTTTTTTTTCATATTTAAGAGAATAAAACCGTTTTGTCACTACTTATCGTTTCGGAGCCCGGGGAAATAATAATAATAATAATAATAATAATAAATTTGTTTTGTTTCCCCCCATCCCTCATTCAATTTATTTTGAAATATTTGGCCCCCCCCTCCCCTAAACAAAAATAAATATTGTTTAATCGACACAACGGGCAATTATAATTTACAGTAGGAATCCTTCAATTTTTTTTTTTTTTTTAATTTATGCAACCGATTCAGATTAATTAATTATTTATGTAACGTAATGTTATTTATATATATATATATATATATATTTTTTTTTTAAAAAAACGAAAACTTACTGAACAAAAAAATTAAATAAATAAATAAATAAATTATTATTATTATTAATAATATTAATATCAAAAAAAACTATTCTTTTCTCTCTCTCTTTCTCTCTTAAAAAAAATTATTATTATGTATAAATTATTTTAATTTAAATAGATCTGATGAATTTAATTTAATTTTTTTTGTTTCTTATCATGTTAATTATTATTATTATTATTATTAATATATTATTATTATAATGGATTAAATTCCATTTTATTTTAAATAAATGTGTTACATGTGTAAAAAAAAAAAAATCCCTATGTAATATTTTATATGTATGTATTTTCGCTTTTTATTAATTTTCTATTAATTTTCATTTATTGTTGTAAAAAAAAAAAAATTTTAATATATATATAAATAAATAAATAAATAATTAATTAATTAATTAATTAATTGTACGAAAAGAAAAGAAAAAAAAAGAAAAAAAAAGATTTTTTTTTTTGTTGTCATTTTTCTGTATTTTATTGCTAACAAAATGTTAAATAAAAACTTTTTATTTGACTCTATATAAATGCTTTTTTATTTATTTTTATGTTTAATTATTATTATTATTAAATAAATAAATAAAAATTCAATCGAATCAAATATTCGAAAAGACGATTAATAATAATAATAATAATAATAATAATATTTTAAATAAATAAAGTTTTTCCTTTTTTTTCCTTTTTTCCTTTGAAATAAGATAAAAATAAATAAATAATTTCTTACCTTTTGTAAGAATGAAGCACAAAAAAAAAATTTTTTCCTTTTTTGAAATCCGTCAAAATAATAATCATTATTATTATTATCATCAATCTTTGGCATCGTCTATGCCACCGGCTGTTATTGCAAACGTGGCTTCGTTTTCAGGCATGTCGGGACTGTCGTATACCTTGGCTATCCTTATTTCTCCTCTACCTTTTCTAAAGGAAAGCCTCGTCGTGGAAGCATGAGCTAATATATTACCCCCGATCGGCTTTTTCGGATCAGCCTATATAATAATTGTTTTATTATTATTATTATTATTATCATCATTTTTCAAATATTTATACGTATTATATTTATTATACGTTACCTGAAACGAGAGCGTCGCTCCCGGATCCGCCGTCATTTGATTTGTTATAAAAACGGCAACGTTGTATTCCTCCGAAATTTTTTGAAGTCTCGACATTAATTGCGCCAATTTTTGCTGTCTGTCAGCCAATTCTCCTCTTCCGCTGTAATCGACTCGAAACAAAGCCATTATGGAATCGACCTGATGACCAAATTTTAATTAATAATCTCGCTTTAGATAACTTAAAGCTTTTTTTTTTTTTTCAAAAATTATTGACATTATTTACATTACCACCAATAATTTATATATTCCGGCTTCTTCGTAAAATTTAGCTGCAACATAATCAAGTAATTCTTGTTGATGTTCGCTCGTATAAGCTCTTGCATAAAGAACGTTTCCCAAAACTTCTTCTTGGCTTAAATCAAATCTATCAGCAATCAAACGCAAACGATCCGGTCGACTGAAAACAAAGACAAAAAAAAAAAAAAAATGAAAATACACAAAAATATTTTAGAAAAAAAAAAGAGTAACTTTTTGTCAACTTGTTTAACGTATGTACAAGGTATGTTCGGTGTCGAGAAAAATAACTTTTCCTCCTGTATAGCCTGTATCGTTGGGTAGTTGAGCTGTCACACACAAGGTATGAGACATTTGCGTTTTTCCCGTTCTAAATTCTCCGAATGCTTCTGTAATTGCCATGGATTCGATACCACCTCCGATTAATTTACTTTTCAAAAAAAAAAAAAGCGAATAATTTTATATCGTTCTAAATAAATAAAATCTCGAGTAACGGACAATTAATAAGAACTTACTCTAGTTCTTGACTTCCGGTTGAAATTTTAAATACTTGTTTTCTCTTATTGCTAACTTCTAACGCGGTCGAAAAATGTACTGTATAAATTTTTGCACAAGCTTCTTTTATTTTGTCAACTTTGGCTTCGGAAAAACCTTTTATGGCACATAAACGTCTTTTTATTGTCATTTGAATACCCTTTATCGTACATATTCCAGAAGCTTTTAATTTTTTTATATCCGCAACATTCTTAAAAAAAAAACAGAATGAAACACTTGGAATATTAATAAAAATTTTCTTTTTTTAAAATAATTTACAAATGACGAAAATTTCAAGTGTTTAAAATTTGAATTTTTTCAATCATAGAGGCAA